TATATATATATGTATATATATTTATATATATTTAATGCAAGCTTTCTATATGAGACATTGGAACAGTACCTCTCCCCTGAAAAATGACCATATGCTACATAATTTTATATTCTGCTTAATTTAACTCAGTACTACTTAAAAGAACTTACCACGTCCTTCAAAATGTAATTTTAAATGATGGATCAAATTCCATAATGTAAATACCATAATTCACTTAATCTTTCTTATGTTGGACATTCTATTTATTTACAAGTTATTCCTATAGTAGAATCAAATTTATGTTAAAAATATGTTACTTATATTTCAAGAGGGCTGTCTTCTCCAAACATGAAGTTTCAGTCCCAAAATTAAGCTTCCAGCAGTCTTTTTTTCTCTTCACCCAAAATGGCTGTTCCAAAGAGCAGATCAAAACAAAACCATTAAACTGTCATTAAATGAGAAAGACTTGGGCTTCTTTAATTTGAATTTCTTGAGGTCTGGGAGCTGCAGGTGGATCGAAGGGCTGGATCTTAGTTACCATTTTAATGTTACCTCAGTAGCTACTAAATACTTTGTCCCCATGGCAACTCATATTCTTTCTTTCTTTTTTAAATTTTTATTAGTTTACAGAGCAAATTCATTTTCCATACAGCAGTTTATACACAGTTTGTCTCAGGACATTGACTGCATCCCCCCACAACGTAATAGCTCTCTTCCCACGTCCTCCCCATTACAACCTGTATTTTTTAAGCAAAAGTTATTGAAGTCTCTGTAAATTCTCCATTTTCTAGAAACAGCTTCATCATGTATGAGGGAATATTTATCCAATTTACAAATTGTTTATTAAATAATAGACTGATAAAATATTGTGTTATTCTTTTAAATTAACACACGATTAAATTTTTAACACTGTAAGTGTTGTGAGCATTTTCTCTATATGTAGATTGAGATGTAGATACATAGGTAGATATGAATTTTTAAAATTTCCTTGGGAGAGATTTCAAGAGAGAAATGTCTAGTCTAGGCAGTGTGACAATCTTTAAGATATCTCCAGCAGACTTGTTTGACATTAAACTCCTAATGACTGCATATGAAATTGTCTGTTTTCTCATACATTGGCTAGTATTGCATTCTTTTCTTTTTAATTTTTGCTAAATTGTTAAAAAGAAGTTATAAACATTATTTTCTGTTACTGATTTAACTCTCCTTTTTTTTCAAAAAAGGCAGAATAATTTAAAATATAAAAAATCAAACAAAATATATAGCCATGGAAATTTGTTTGCTTTAATAATATATTTATAGAATTGTAAAACTGTTGCCTAGAGATTTGGGTGTTTTGCTTTTTGTTGGGGGTATGTATGTCTTCTGTTTATAGGAAGCTAGGGGTGCAGCCAGCCATTCATAGCTTGTTATGACCCACTTAGGTATCTGGTTACTAAATCGCTTCAGATTACTGGAATTTAGTATGTCACAAGCATCCCATGGTAAAAGTTGATCATTGTAAAAATCTGTGTATCGCAGCAATTTGCAGTCCAAAGTGTCTTTATGGAGGCAGATGTATATTTCCCAATGTGTGTTCTTGCCACGCTGGATATTCTGGAGTCAGATGTGAAAAGAAAATTCAGGTATTTTAAATGAATATTAGCTATTGATATCAGCTTATCTGTCTAGATAGCATATTTGGTAATTGTCCCTTTGCTAGTCATGCTTTGTTTTTGTTTATTTACTAAGGGGGGAAAAATACAAGGGTGACTATCTGCCTCTAAAACTAAAAAGCAATACAATTTTTAGTGTCATTATAATAGAGTTTTCTATACAAAATTCAGGGACCTCTGGTAGTAGCATAGTGCCTAAGGCATTTGACTGCTAACCAGAAGGGTGGAGGTTCAAACCCACCAGCCACTCCTCAGAAGGAAGGTTGGGCAATCTACTTCAGTAGTGATACCACCTCGGAAACCCAAGGAGGGGTCGCTATGAGTGGGGTCCAACTTGACGGCACTTAACAACAACAACAACAATACAAAATTCTAATGAGCATTTGAGGAATTTCAATGTGTAGATAAAACCGTCAAATGTAGCACGGTATTTCATGGCACTGGTGCTGAAAGAGAGCAAATATTCCACAATCTGTATTTAAGACACCACTATGAGTTGGGTCCAACTCGACAGCACATAACAACAAAAACATTTATACTTTGCTCAAATACTAGATCAAGAGAAGCCCCCTCACCATCTTCAAAACTAAATCGGTCATTCTTAAATCAGTGAATCACTATGTTATTGGCCTGAGGTAGCCCTAAATAGTTTACGATGGGTCATGTTTCTGTGATCGTATCTGGGTTTTTGGGAGCTCTGGTACTATAGTGCCTAAAAGCACTTGACTGCTAACCAGAAGACTGGCGGTTCAAATCCACCAGCCACTTCTTGGAAGGAAGGTTGGGCAATCTACTTCCCTAGTGATACTGCCTAGGAAACCCAAGGAGGGGTCGCTATGAGTCGGGGCCAACTCGAGGATACCATAACAACAACAACAACAACAACTGTGTTTTTAAAGATTAAACTTTTTGTATGGTTTTCTAATCTTAAATTTCCATATATAAACTGCCAAGTTATTTATCAGCACTGAAGTTGCTATGAGTTGGAAGCAACTTGATAGCACTCACCAATGTCTACACATACCAGTGTGACTTTAATAATTACAAAAGAATACAGCAGAACTCTCAAAAAGTTCTTAAAATTAATCTGTATTAATTTAATAATCCAGTGTATGCTGGGGCTATGATATGAAAAAGTATAGGAAATTTTCTTCTTGATGTCTGATACTGGATCAGTTGTAGAGGTAATGTGGGTGAATATATGCTTTTCTCCTCGGATCGATGCTCATCCTAGGAGAATATGGCCCCTCTTTTGGAAATGTTGCTGTTGTTGTTAGGTGTTGTTGAGTCAGCTCTTGACTCATAGTGACCCTGTGTACAACAAAATGAAACAGTGCCCAATCCGCACCATCTTCATAACCCTTGCTATGCTTGAGCCCACTGTGTCAATCCATCTTGGTGTGGCTTTCTCCCTTTTTGCTGACCTTCTACTTTACCAAGCATGGTATCCTTCTCCAGGGACCAGTCTCTTCGGACAACATGATCAAAATAGTGAGATGAGGTCTGGCCATTCTCACTTCTAAGGAGCATTCTGGCTTTACTTCTCCAGAACAGATTTATTTGTTCTAGCACACCAAACCAAACCAAACCAAACTTACTGCCATTGAGTCGATTCTTACTCATAGTGACCTTCATTGGGTTTTTGAGGCAGTAAATCTTTACAGAAGTAGATTTCCCCCTCTTCCTTCTGTGGAGCAGCTGGTGGGTTTGAACTGCCAACCTTCTGGTTAGCAGTCAAATGCCTTAGGCACTGCACCACCAGAGCTCCTTTTTTATTCTGGTTGTTGTTGTTGTTGTTATGTGCCGTCGAGTCAAACTCGACTCATAGCGACCCCTCCTTGGGTTTCCGAGGCAGTATCACTACGGAAGTAGGATTGCCCAACCTTCCTTCTGAGTTTTTATTCTGGTAGTCCACGGTATTTTCAATATTCTTCACCAGTACCCCAATTAAAAAGCATCAATTCTTCTTCGATCTTCCTTATTCATTGTCCAGCTTTCATATGCATATGTGGTGATTGAAAATACAATGGCTTGGGTTAGGTTCCCCTTACCCTTCAAAGTGTTATCTTTGCTCCTTGACACTTCAGAAAGGTCTTGTGCAACAGATTTGCCCACTGCAATATGGTGTCTGATTTGTTAACTGCTGTTCCATGGGTATTGATTGTGGATTCAAGTAAAATGAAATCTCTGACAACTTCAATCTTTTCTCCATTTATTGTGATGTTGCATATTGGTCCAGTTGAGAGCATTTTTGTTTTCTTTATGTTGGGGTGTAATCCATAGTGAAGACTGTAGTATTTGATCTTCATCAGTAAATAGTTCAAGTCATCTTCACTTAAAAGTGACGAAAGCAAGTTTGTGCCATCTGCATGTCACAGATTTTTAATGAGTCTTCCTCCAATCCTGATGCTGTGTGCTTGTTCATATAGTCCAACTTCTTGGATTGTTGCTCATCATGCAGATTGAGTAAGTATGGTGAAAAGATATGACCCTGATGCACACCCTTCCTGATTTTAAACCATGCAGTGTTCCTTTGTTCTGTCCAAGTGACTGCCTCTTCGTCTATGTACAGGTTCCTCATGAGCACAATTAAGTGTTCTGGAATTCGCATTCTTCTCAATGTTATCCATAATTTGTTATGATTCACACAATGGGATGTCTTTGCATTGTCAATAAAACACAGGTAAACATCTTTCTGGTATTCTTTGCTTTCAGCCAAGATCCATCTGATACCAGCAATGATATCCCTTGTTTATGTCCTCTTCTGAGTCCAGCTTGAATTTCTAGAAGTTCCCAGTCAACATACTGCTGCAACTGTTTTTGAATTATCTTCAGCAAAATTTTACTTGCATGTGATATTAATGATTTTGTCTGATAATTTCCATACTCTGTGTGATCACCTTTTTTTGGAATGGGCACAAATATGGACTCTTGCAGTTGGTTGGCCAAGTAACTGTCTTCCAAATTTCTTGGCATAAATGAGTAAGCACCTCCAGTGCTGCATCCATTTGTTGAAACATCTCAATGGGTATTCCGTCAGGACTGGAACCTTGGTTTTCACCAGTCACTTCAGTGCAGCTTACACTTCTTCTTTCAATACCATTGGTTCTCGATTATATGCTACCTCCTGAAGTGGTTGAACATCGACGAATTCTTTTTGGTACAATGACTCTGTATATCCCTTCCAACTTCTTTTGCTTCTTGAATTATTCAATATTTTCCCCATAGAATCCTTCAATATTTCAACTCAAGGCTTGAATTTCTTCTTCAGTTCTTTTAGCTTGAGAAATGCCTAAAGAGAGTAAGTTGGTAAAAAGCTTTGAGAAGCATCATAATGTGCTGTTTGTCCTTGGTTGGAGTTTTGGTCTCGTCTTGGACTGGCCATCTTAATTCATCAGGTGGAAAAGCAGGGGCAGGGGTGCACAGGTTCCAAAACTGGTCAATGCTGGCCACAGATAGTAAACTGGAAGATATCTCAAGAATGGCTTGTTACTTGGAAAGGCCATTTAAGTAGTAAATTTATATTGGTATTATTTCTTTTGCAGTGTCTCTTCCTTAGCCTCATGATCTAAGGAATGCAATTGCCCTGTCCTGTGAGCTGTTTCTGTCTTGGTTTTATGATCTTAGGAATGTGATTGCAGAGGCAGGATTCTTATGTAATTATGGCTACCAGTAAGGCAATGTTTAAATTGAACAAGATTAATATGGAACTCAGAACACATATTCATCTCCCAGAAATTCTAATCTGTCTACATTATTACAGTTTTATTTTATATTACCCTACATTCAGAAATAAAAATGCAAAATGAGCTTTAGACATTTATTATGTTCTTTTAAATTCTTATGGAAAAATGAGAACGAGGATAAAAAAAAAAAAGTGGAGCCCTGGTGGTGCAATGGTATTCAAACCCACTGTGTCTGAAGCCCCCATAAAGATTACAGCTTAGGAAACCCTATGAGGCATTTCTACTCTCTCCCATAGGGTTGTTATTAGTTGGAATCAACAGCACACAAAAACAACAGGAAGAAATATGTACTCCACATAATTTTTTTTTTAAGTTTATAATGGAAATTAAAATACCTACTGTGAAAATACATATAACTTTTACATTAGTCTCTTTGCACTCTGTTGTTGTTGTTATGTGTTGTGGAGTTGGAACCAACTCATAGCTACCCCTCCTTGGGTTTCCGAGGCAGTACCACTATGGAAGTAGATTGCCCAACCTTCCTTCCATGAGTGGCTGGAGGGTTTGAATCACCAGAGCTTAGTATATAAATTGCAATTTCAGCATTGATTTTCAATGTATTTTTTTTACAGTTAGAGTGTTAATTGCTCAAGAATTTGTCTATTCTTAAATGCCTAAACTAATATATTAAACTTTTATAAACATTCCTAATTCCACACCAAGAATCTCAAGAGACAATTCAAATATTAAACAGTAGACTAGACATTTATAATAGATTTAATGGACTTGCATATGCTAATAAAGCAGAAATGCTACAATTTACAGATTTTATATAAAACTACTCCTTATGAAAGCTAATGACTCTGCTAAAAGGGCAGGGAGGCCACATGTTTTGACCTCCTCTAACCCCACAAGAGGAAGACAGAATCACTATCAGTAGCCCAAGGCCCATTCCTGTGAGGCCAGACATGCTGCCTCTCTCCAGCCCTTACAACATCTGTTCCTCCCGCAGCAGCCAAAGTGTATCTGCCCGGTTCAATAATTCACTACAGTGGCCACACAGAACTCACAGATTATGGGGTTTATTAGGGAAGCACCAGGCTACAATTCAAGTTCAGGAAAAACTCCCAGTCTCTCGCCCAGCCCACCGTCTCTCAGCCAAGTCTATCACAGCGTCTCCCCCAGCAGTGTGTGTCCCTCAGTGTCTTACTCAGCAATGCGTGTCTCTTGTGTCTCTTTCTCAGGAGTACGTGTCTCTCAGGAGCACCTGTCTCTTTCAGCAGCACATCTTCC